TGCGCCTTAGTTTGGCCTGTAAATTTTATTTTCTGTACTGACTATTGTCTGTACATAACTAATGGCTCATAAAATGCATTATCAATTTTTTTTTGTCTTTTCTGGAATTTTTTGTGAAGAAATATATTTTGTTGCAACACATGTTCCTGTATTGTGGATTAGTTTGGTGTTATGTGAAAGGTTTCTTGGTTCTTATGCAATTTTCCACAGCACATTAATACTTTACACTCAAAGCAAGAGGATCTGAACACAGGCAAACAACACAGCTGAGAACAGTACAACTTGAGAAAGTAGGACCGTGCCTGATCTTCCTTCAGCTCTCACACTTTCTTTCGGCTCCGCGTGGCCGCTTGCTCTCTCTGGGAAACACATCTGTATGGTCTTCATAACTCCGTGCCTTCAACCCTTCATCACATCCTTTCTCTGAATATCCACAGGCAAAAGGAAGAAGCTGGACCCCCTACATCACACCACATAGAAAAATTAACTCAACATGAATCAAAGATCTAAAGGTGAGAGCTAAAACTACAAAATCTTAGACTAAAACTTGCAAATCCTCATGACCTTGGATTTGACAATAGATTTTTAGACATCACACCAAAAGCACAAGCTTTAAAATTTGGACTTCATCAAAATTAAAAACTTTTGTGCATCAAAAGACATTATGAAGAAAGTCAAAAGAAAACCCATTCAGAAAAGTCATTCAGGGGCTGGCCCGTGGCTCACTCGGGAGAGTGCGGTGCTGATAACACCAAGGCCCCGGGTTCGGATCCCACATAGGGATGGCCGGTTCGCTCACTGGCTGAGCGTGGTGCTGACAACACCAAGTCAAGGGTTAAGATCCCCTTACCGGTCATCTTTTAAAAATAAATAAATAAAGAAATAAAGAAATAAAGAAAGAAAAGCCATTCAGTAATGCGACAAATTATTTGCAAGTCATATATCTAATAAAGATACACTATCCAGAATATATTAATAAGTCTTACAGCTCAAGAAGACAACCCAACTTAAAAAGACTCAAAGTAGGGGCCGGCCCGGTGGTGCACTGCTACAGTGCTCCGCTTGGGAAGTGCGGCGGCGCTCCCGCCGAGGGTTCGGATCCCACATACAGACCGGCCGCTCACTGGCTGAGCGAGGTGCGGGAGCAACACCGAGGGTTGCGATTCCATTGCCGGTCCAGGTCTGGTACGGGCACGACACTGAGGGTTGTGATCCGTTGCCGGTCACGGAAAAAAAAAAAAAAAAAAAAAATCAAAGTACCTGAATAGCCATTTCTTCAAAGAAGATATACAAATGGCCAAAAGCACATGAAAAGGTGTTCAATATTATTGGTCATTGGAGAAACGCAGATGAAAACCACGATAATATGTAACTTCACACACGAGGAAGGTGATAATGAAAAAAGTGGAAAACAACCAGTGTTGGTTACACAGATCAGGTTTCAGGGGGGACCTTGTACAGACCTGGGGTTTTCTCCTTTCTCACTTGTAGTTCTCAAGAACAACTGTAGAATGTGCTGGGAATGCAACATCCTGAAATAAGGGAGAACTGGCTGGAAAAGCCTGGGCTTCATCTCTGCCTGTCCCCCCCTCCCCCCAGAAGCAGATGTCAACACTTCAGCCCAGTGAATCATGGGCTTCCTTCCCTGCCCCCACAGGGTATAAAACCCAGGGTGGGCTGCTTTCTGGGGTCTGTCAGCTGCAGTGCAAGTGAGGCACCTGCAGACAAAACTGCATCTACCCTGGGCAGCTTTCCTGAGCCCTGGGGAGCCAGCCTGTCCTGAATCCTAGGCTTCTGTTGTCCCTTGCTGCCTACCTGTCAGTAATAAATCCACTTCATGTAACTTGTACACACAAGACAAACTGGTAACCAGTGCGCAGTGAACCTGCTTTGCCTTGGTGAGGACACGGAGGAGTTACAGCCCTTGTACATTGCTGGTGGGAACGTAAACTGGTTTGGTTGCTGTGGAAAATAGTCTGTTCCTTAAAAGGTTAAATACAGAATTGCCGTATTATCCAGCAATTCCATTCCTAGTATACAGAGAGTGAAAATCACTTCCCTCTACCCTTCCAGGTTCTTTGGCTGTCCATGCAGGACACTCGGGGAGGGCTCAGGTGGGCGTCCTCAGGTACAAACATCATATTTTTCAACATCCCTGTGCCAGAGACCATGCTAGATGCAGTTTCCCTCCCAAAACATGTGTCCCAGAGAAGATGGAATATGAACAACATTCCAATCCAGGGATTAGAAGCTTTGAAATTAACCTAAATTAACCTAAAGTAACCCCATGCCACTGCCAGGGGCTGAATTAATGATGATGGATTTTCCTCCCTTCCTCAATCCTTGTCTCTTGGCTTCTGTCGCCCATTGTCCTGCACCTCCTTGGCCACCCTCTCCCAGCCTCCTCACTACTGCTCAGCCCCCTAACATCAAGGGTCTGGGGCCTCCGTCCTCACCCTCTGTCCACACTCTGCCCAAGGGAGCTCATCCTTCCCCTGGCTTTAAATACTACCCCATTGCTGATGCCATGTCTGTTTTATTTCCCTCCCAACCTGGCCTCTTTCCCTAATTCCAGACTCATGAGTCTAACCATGGACTTGACCCATCCCTCAAATCTAGAATGAGATCTTCAGCTTTCCTGTGCCCAAACCCGAAGTCTTGCTTTCTGTACTGGTCTGCCCTGCCCTGCCCTATCCCTGGCCCTCACATTCTTGGGGGATGCCCAGCCATGATGCTGTCCTCTCCTCACCCTCAGAGTCACTTCCTCCCCTGGCCCGGAGTCCACCGGCTTCCCTCCCCATCTGCCTGCAGCACCCTGGCCACGCTGGCCTCCCTCCCGCACCACTGGGAGCCCTCCTGCCAGTCTCCCAGCTCCTGCCCCCGCTCCCTGCTGGCCCACCCGCCACTCAGGTGCTCTGATTATGTGTATCAGGAATCTGCTTTATGATGTCAGCTGTGGCCCTGTCTGGCCCATCCTAAGCAGGGAAGGGTGGTGAGGGGCTGGGAGCCCAGCCACAGGATCTATCCACCACAAACGCCTAGTTTTGTACAGTCCTTTGCAATGTCGAGCTCGGGACTAGTGCTAGCTAAATGCCCCACCCTTCCCAACTAGTAAAATGGGTAGAGGCCAAGCTGGACTCCTGGTTTCCACCTGGGAGAGGTGGCTGGTTGGCTCTGGGAACACAGAATGTCGAGGCCCTTGGGTGTGGTGGGGGAAGAGAGAAAGGAGGCATGTTTCCTGTTTGCTCCCTCTGCCAGCCTTGCCCAAATCCCTGCAGCCACCCTAATCTACTCTGTTTAATGGAGCCCAAGCTGGCTCAGGCCCCAGTACAACAAGCCCACTAATCCCTGTGGCTGGGAGCTCACCACTGTCTCCAGGACAGCGTTTGCTCTCTTGGCATCACAGAGCCCAATCTGGGGCTTCAGATGGGGATGATGGTAAAGGCATCTTTTGGCCAAGCCCCCTCACCTTGGTCCCCAATGATGAGATGGGGAAAGTCAGGTACAGGGAGCTTCAAACGGTGTAAGTTACAGCTCCAGAGTAGCTGTTTCAGACCACAGAGCCCAGGAAGTCTTTATAAATGACCACAAGATGCAAGAGGTGGGAGTGGGAGCTGCAGGATGAGCTGGCCCTGTCCCCTCCCTCCATCAAAGGCAGGCTGTTTCAGACCACAGAGCCCAGGAAGTCTTTATAAATGACCACAAGATTCAAGAGGTGGGAGTGGGAGCTGCAGGATGAGCTGGCCCTGTCCCCTCCCTCCATCAAAGGCAGTGTGGGTTGGTAGTTTTGAACCAGTCTGGGTGCAAATCCTGATGCTCACACATGCCAACTGCATGACCTTGGGCAAGTGAATCCACTCCTTGAGGTTTCTATTTCCCTCTCTGCAAACCGGTGCCAATGACAAAAGTACCTTCTTTGCAGGGCTGTATGTTTGCTAACATTAAGCGTGTGCCCGCTCGTGGCTCCTTTCTGCCCAGCCTTGCTCTCTTGTTCTGGCCCATCCAGCTCACAGCTCCTTGTGCTGTCCACTCATGCATTTACTGCAGGGTTTTGCAAGGAGAAAGCTGGGAGTACCTTAGGCAGCCGGAGTCAAGAGGGCTGGTGGCCAGGAAAGAGGAGGAGAGACAGGAAAGGGGTAAGGGACAGAGAGACAACGAAAGGGAAAGAAATAGAGGCAGGAAGAGATAGAGGCAGAGAAGGGAAAAGGAGAGAGTTCCAAGAAGAGGCGAGAGACAGAAAGCCGGAGACAGAGACAGAGAGAGGGACAAAGAGACCCAGTAAGACAGAGATAAAGAGATGGACAGAGAGTGTGCGTCAGAGACAGCCCCGGAGAGAGACTGACTGCCAGAGAGTCTGGGTCAGACACAGTCCAAACACAGGAAAACGGGAAAGAAACAGCCCCAGGGAGCAGGAGAGGGAGGGAAGGAGACGTGCATATCGCCAGTTCCACCCCCCCCATGCTCAGGAGGGGTCTGCGCCCTCTCGTCCATCCCTCCTCGGAATCCTTAAATCCGCTCGCGCAGGGCCCTGCGCATCTGTCACAGACTTGTCCTGAACCGCCAGCGGCTGGCGCAGGGGAGTGTGACTCCGGAGGGAGCCTGGGTGAATGCTGGGGAGGGACCCCGAGAGAGAGAGGGGCCTAGGGCTGCCGGGAAGGGGTCGCACCGGCGGGGTAGAGACAGAGACCAGGCAGGTTCAGAGGGTGTGAGCGCGAGGCGGAGGCCTGGGGAGGCTGGCTGAGTTCTACCCCATCTGCTCACGACCTCGCTCGGCCAACACTGACGGCGCGCCTCCCCTGTCCCCAGGACCCCGGGCTCCCTCCGCGGTCCCCGACCTCGGGTTGTCCCTCCGCCAGGCGCTCAGAGCGCTCTCCAGTTAGAAGGCGTCCCCTCTGCCTTCCTCCCCGCAGCCCGCGAGCCGATGGTGCGGCCCCGGAGCTCCCGGGATCCGCCGGGGCTGGCGCCGCCGCCGCCGCTGCTGCTGCTGCC